ATGTTTAGTACTAAGAGGAGACTGGACATCTCCTAACTTGGGAAGAATTTCCAGTCTGACAGAAAGTATTTGGTGAAAAAGCCCCTCTGTAAATCACTCATCATGCTGACGATGATCTAGTTCACTGTTTGCTTTTAGTCAGGGCTTGAACCATTACAGATTTGCTGTGTGTGTGTGTGTGTGTGTGTGTGTGTGTGTGTGTGTGTGTGTGTGTGTGTGTGGTGTGTGTGTGTGTGTGTGTGTGTGCGCACATGCACATCTAAGATCTGAGTCGCAATGGTGAGGAAGGAGAAAAGAGGTAGAACTGATGTGAGAAAGCAGCTGTTAGGACATGTTAGTCTCCTGTTGCTGCCATAGCGAATCACGACAGATTTGGTGGCTAAAATTAGAGCACAAGTTAGCCAGTGAGGCGGTCGGGTGGGTAGACGTTTGTGTGCAGGCCTGATGAACTGAGTTCAGTCTGTGGAGAACCAGCTCTTGAGAATGGTCTTGTGACTGCCACACAAACATGGTGGCACACATGTGCCTACACACACACGCACACGCGCGCACACACACACACACACACACACACACAAGCACACACGTGTACATGCCCACAGATTTTCTTTAAAATAAGTTTCAAGACCTGCACAAGTTCAGGGCACACAAAATTCCAATATTGGGAAGAGGAAGTGGACGTGGAGCCCCATCCCCAACCGACATGGTATTTGCAGCTGATAGCTGCTGGCCCAGGAAAACTCCAGGACAGGCCCCACGCTCGGAAGTAGTTGGCCAGCACAAAACAGACTCCACAGGTTTAGAGGGTCTTGTTGGTTTGTTTTGGGTTGGTATTTTTAAATCTTTTTCCTTGTCTGATTCCAGGGGGATGTTTTACTTTGAGGGGGCGGGGAGCATAAAGTTAGGGAGACGAGGAGGTTCTGGGAGGAGTTGGAAGGGAAGAATATGGTCAAATTACATTGTATGAAACATTTTTAAAAACTGTGGAGAAAAGTGGGGAGTGACAGTGATCAGAATGTGTTGTACACATGTTTAAAAGTGTCAAATAAATTTAACTTTAAAAGTTAAAACGCACACATATTTTTTTCTCTCACAGTTCTAAGTCCCAAGTCAAGGTGTCAGCTCTACTGCACCTGGCTTTCACAGCCTCTGCACAGCATTTCCTGACACAAATTCTCCTTCTCTGCCTCCATGGGCAACTGGCTTCTCTTTTCAAGTCAGGGACCCTTGGCTCAAGGTACAGAGTCCAGGTTATAATCACGATCATGTTGTCCTTAGTCCTGGCTTTAGCTCCATCTGCAGAAACAAGGCCACTAGAGGTTCCGGGGACTAAGGGCGGGGGGGTGTCTTCTGAGAAGCCCACTATTCAGTCACTGCTCAGAGTCATCAAGGTAACGCTGAGATAAACATTTAGAGACTGCGTGGGATGTGGTCACTCAGCTAGGCCTTCCTTACCAACACCTGTTCAGGGTACCCTGACCCACTCAAGATAGCTTCCTTCTGGTTGGTCCCCTTTCCCTTCCTTCATCTTTAAGGTGTGGCTTGCATGAAGGAAGCTGAGAGATCTTGGTTGCTGAGATACAGAGAGCCAGCTCTCCTTCCCCTGAGCTCCAGCTCACTTTGATTCCCTTCCTTTTCGGAGACATTTGTACCCTCCATTCATCTCCTTAGAGCATTGTGAGTTGGCCTTAGGTCGGGTCAGGTCGGGGTTCCTGCCGTACTCACAGGTTTGTCCTTTGCAGAGTATAACCTGGTCAGATCATAATGTCTTTTGACAGGTGGAAGGCCAGAGGGACAAGGCCAGAGAGAGGGGAAAGTGAGAGGGGGAAATACAACACATTTCCTGTTGCTTGAACAGGAATGCCATTAACTGGGGGTCAGTAAAGTGCTTGTGTTGCAAGCATGAGGACCTCTGTTCGGTTCCCAGAACCCACGTCAAAGCCTGGGAGTGACCGTGCATGCTTGTAATCCCAGTGCTAAGGAGGCAGAGATAGGCAGATTCCTGGGGCTCCCTGCAGCCCAGTGAGTGACCATGTCTCTAAGCAAAGTGGATGGTGTGGCTGAGGAACAGCACCTGAGGTCTTCTGGCCTCTACGTGCGTGTGCGCGTGTGCATGTGCGCGTGCGTGTGTATGCGTGTGTGTGTGCATGTGCATGTATGTGTCCATCCTCAGGTGCCCCTGCACATGTACGCACACACAAAGAACTTACAGCAGTGAAAAAGGACACATTCATGTTTTAGCAATGATCTGAATTCTGTGCGTAAAGTCTGGTTTAACATTTTCCACTCTGTTAAAGGTGTGCCACGTCATCACCGGGGTGAGATCTGGAAATTTCTAGCTGAGCAGTTTCTCCTCAAACATCCACTTCCCAGTAAACAGCAGCCAAAGGATGTGCCCTACAAAGAACTCTTGAAGAAACTGACCTCCCAGCAGCATGCAATTCTCATCGACCTCGGTGAGTCTGCCCATCACTGGAGACAAGACTTGGTGTTCCATTTGAGAAATCTGGAGAGAATGTCCAGATCATTTAGTGATCTGCCCTTGGGGTTAGCAGTTGCAATTGAGTGCCGAGACTTTTCGTTTCAAAACCCGAGAGTGGTCACAGATGCCCTCTGAGAGGGCATAAGCATCTCCCTCTGCGTTGGTGGCTGGCTTGTTCTGCTTGGCATGTTGTGGGCCATGGGGAAATGTAAGTGGTCATTAAGGATGTTGAGACGCACTTCTGGTTTAGTTCAGTAATTCATATTTCCAGGGGATGCTTTACAGCTCACTGAAGGAGCATCCTGGGAATCACACTGGCTTGGTTTAGTTACAGGAGAATCACACTGGCTTGGCTTAGTTACAGGAGAATCACACTGCCTTGGTTTAGTTACAGGAGAATCACACTGCCTTGGTTTAGTTTTAGAAACATTCCTTGGACTGTGGCGTACAAACAGAACTCATCAAAAAAATTTGTAGGAAGCTGTGTTTGCAGTTTCTTCTTGGAAAGTGGACAATGCCTTATTTCTGGACTAGCTTTTAAAACACAAAAAGGAAGCAGTGTGTTGGATGTCTTTGCAGTTACCAAGGGGAAGACCTCGCTGACTTAGAATGGAATTAGATTAAACAAGAGACCCTCTGACTGTTGGTGGCTAACCAGGGATACAGGTGGCCGGGTGCCTTCTCGTCACGCTCACAAGACCTGCCTCTACTGCGGGGAGCTGGTTCCATGGCTGTAGCTCATACGTGCTGGTGGAGCATGTGGTCCTGCTTCTAGAATGCCAGTTCTGGATGCTGAGGCCGTCCCCCCAGGTCCCCTATCTTTGCCCAGGGTACTGCAGTGGCCCCATTCTGTAGGTACTTCACTCGCTACAGCCACAGTGGAGGAGGTAAGCTGGGCTAGGAAGGAGTCAGTTTCAAACCACATACCTCATGTTTCCTTACTGATCTTCAGGCTACTCCAGTGCAGGCTTTAAATGTCAGCTTTCACACCGTTACACATCACATAGATAAGTGCACAGGGAGGTTATATAACTTGTTCAAGATCTCGTAAATAATTGGCTGATGAGCAGTATGACATGCAAACTTTGGTTTGTTCTCTCCTAACACCTAGTTCTGCTCTGTAGGATGCAGCCCTCCATGGCTGCACTTGGACTGTGTTACGTATTGTATGCTCTCAGCTCCAAGGACGGTGCCCGACACTGTCAGGGACTTGTTGTATCTTTCTGCCACGTCGGTTGTGAGGCACTCCCACACCTTCCACAGCCTCTCTGGGAAACTGACCGTCTATCCTAAGAAATGAGGAACCTGAGACCCTGAGCAGTCACATGGTCATCAGAGCAGAGGTTCTCCACCTACCCACTGTCATCCTGCCATCCCTAAGACTCGCAAGCCCAGCAGGTGCCATGTTGCTAAGGAGCTGCCAGGCAGGTGAAGAGTAGTGCTGGGCAGCTGACAGGCACGGCAGGCCTCCAGCCGAAGCGCATCCGGCCAGTGACCCTGAGGATGGCTGGCTATTTGTACATTGGCAGGTGCGGAACTGAACCAGTGACGTCATGTTCCTGTCATGTGACATGAGCTGCAAACCGAAGTGGGGCAGGAGAGTGATGGATTGCGCACATGGCTTCTCGCCTTCCTTCTCCACTCCTCCGTGGCTGGGAGGAGGAGAGAAAATGGGGGGGATTTCTCTCCCCGTTTTGCATTGTGTTCCATTGGCTCCCTGTCTGCATTGCCCTCACTCTTCCTGGGCGTGGTCAGCAACTCTGCCTCAGACCGATTGAATGTCATCACTTTTCTGCAGAAAGCGAATGAAGTCCAGATTGGTCACATGCCCCCACCCCCACTCCACCAGCCAGGCCTCTCCCTAGGAAGTAGTGTTTGTCTGAGCCCCAGCTCAGTGACCTCTCCCCTAGAAAACAGCGCCTGATTCATATCCTCTCTGCCCCTGCTCGGCCCCACCCTCTCCCTTCTGCTCCCGAGGCCAGCTGCACCCAGCTCCCACTGTGCTGACCCTTCTCTTTCCTCACCTCTGGCCCAGTGCTCGCCTGATCTCCACTTTGGATGACCTCCAGACATCCTCCCAAGGGCCTAAAGAACCTCTATTTGCAGTAATCCGTGCCCCAGGTCACCTCCACCAGGCTCCTAGGACATATCCAGGGACCCTGCCAGAATCGGCTCCTGTCCCTTTGTGAACCAGAAATCCTGGTTGCTGGCCCAGACCCATTAGTGGAGTCTGGGTGCCCTTCTGCAAGGCTCCATCTCTGCTGTGGGTCGACTTCAAGTAGGCCTGACATGACAGGTCTCACCTCACACTACCAGCTGTTGTTTACCCCACACTGTGTATTTGGTCTATTCTGTGTATTTTTTTATATATAGTAGCAGACTCTGGGCCCAGTGAAGGTATGTGGTATAGAGTGACGTCACATCCCATTTCTTCCAAAGTGACTTTCCTATAATGGATGGAAGAAAAAGCACCATTGATGGGAAGTATTTTGGCTTTTCGTGGGTTTGTTTTCCTCTCTCTTGCTTTATTTTAAGAAAGCAGCCTTTTGCTTAAACAGCTTCTTGCAAGATTTGTTCCTTCAGAGAGTAAAGAGAGTAGACCTCATAGTTTGGTTGTGTTCTCTGGTTTATAAAATGTGATTTCAAATGTGGCCTGACTTCATCTTTACACAGCCTGGTGTGGACTGTGCAGTCAGTGTACTGTGGAAGTGATGCATGAGGCCGAGGGCGGGAGGAGGTGCCGGGACAGCTCCAGGCTGCGCCCTTCATCCTTGCGCCTCATGGCCTGTCTTCCTGGCCCTGCTTACTGCTTCCTGACATGTTCCCCTGCCTGTCCTTTAGCACAGACCACAGCCAGCCAGGAGAAAGGTACCAGGCTCAGCAGGTGCCCTGGGATTCTTCGCCCCAGCTCCATCTACTGGCCTGACCTCCTTTCTCCTCTCAGCTCTGTGGTTCTCCAGCCTGGGTGGAAAGCATGGAGAGGCATGATCCATCCTGCCTTCTCTCTGGGGCTCCTGTCACTTCTGACTCTTGCCGGGGGTCCCAGGCATCCTCCCTGACGCCCGGCCCTCTGTCTCTCCCCGGTGACTCTGTGCGGCCTCTCCTGTGATGGGAGGGACTTGGTAGAAAGAACACAGTCCAGTCCGGAGACACAGAAACACCATTGTGTCCCCGCAGGAGTTGGCCCCGCCCCTGCCCTCTCCGTGTCAGCTCCTTGCAGTCTTGTTGTTGCGGGTTGTTTCAAGTATGAGGTGGTGGCACCGTGCAGACTCTGGGGTCCCATGAGTCTCTCAGTGTGCTCCGGTAGCTCCAGTTCTTTTCCTGAGTCAGGATCTTACTGTGTGGTCCAAACCCAAAGTTCCCCTGCCTCAGCATCCCCATTGCAGGTATGCCCCCACTTTTGACCTCAGAAATGTTGTTGATGGGCTTCTTAGGGACTCTTCCTCCGTGAAACCCAGATGTGCCAGGGTTACCCGTGCTGGTTGGGGGAGAGGCAGAGCCCATGTCCGGAAGAGTCACTTAGGCACAGGATCAGGTTAGGACTGTCATGGGTTTCTTTCCTCTTAATGTGTTTTAACCAGAGGCTCCAAACCTGAGAAAGAATTTTCTCTGCTTGTTTTAGAATTCATAAAAGATGAGTAGGTTGCTAACTGAGGGTTACAGTAAAAAACTTGATGGCAAAAGACAGAAACATGCCTAGAATTTGTTACACAGCCACCCTAGTCTGTCTGTCCAGTATGAGACTAGTCTCCATTCTGTGGAAGGCAGTTGAACATCCCAGTTCAAGTCTAATACTTTTCCTGCATCAGCAGCGCCAAGAATTATTCAGAAGAGTGTGTGCTTCTGATATTATCAAGATCTCAACATGACCTCACTTCGCTTGGTCATTCTAAATGTGCCCTGTGTGATGGTTAATGTCAGTTGTCAGCTTGACAGAATCTGTAATCACCTGGGAGACTGGCCTCTGGGCATGCCTTGATTATCGGGGATTATCTTGATTATGACTCATCAGTGTGGGAAGACCTAGCTGTCTAAATTGTGAGCGAGGACATTGCCTAGGCAGGGGCTTCTGGGCGATGTGAAAAGCAGGAGACAGCTAAACACCAGCATGCGGGAGTTCACTGCTCTCCTCTGACTCCGGACATGAAGTGAGAAGCCGCTTCCAGCACCTGCTGCCTTGACTGCCCTCAGCTGGGAACTCTGAACATCCTCTCTCTGCTTTTGTCAGAGGGTTTTACCACAGCAGCAGCAGGGGAAACTAAGACAGCCTGTGACCTCACAGGGGTTGAACAGTGTGAATGGCAAAGGAGTGGAGTGCAGCTCAGTTTCCTTCCTCCCCTGCACCCTCCTAGTCAGCCAGTGCTCTGCCAGCAACTGCTTGGCACCCGTCCCCTCCCAGCACCTCAGAAGACCTCTGGGGTTTAGTTTTCAGTGTTGAGACTCCCACCGTATCCGGGTTTAAGCTGTCAACCTGAAATCCTAGGTGGCAGGTTGGTGCCGGTGTTCACCTGCAGAGCCCCTGAGACCTAGTCCTAGCAGTCATGCTCTCGTGGATGCTTCTGGAAACTTAGGACAGATCTCAGACGGTGCCGTCAGCTGCCGTTGCCAAGGGTCTTCCTGAGTGCCCAGGTGTGCCACGCACTATAGGAAGCACATTGGAGTGACGGGGCACACACAGAGCCTAAATCTATCACTTCCCACCCTGGGCCTTTGACACGGGTCTCTCTCCGAACCTGGAGCTAAGCTGGTAGCCAGCAAGCCATATATATTCTGTGAAGTAAACAAAGAAAAGGCTGACTTTGTACGGATCTGTAGTTGAAAAAAGAAAGGCGGACCTCATAAACACTAAACAGGCTTCCCACACTCCCAGGATCCTCTGGCTGTTATTGAGAAGCATGGGGCGAGAGGAATGGCAGATAGTGGGAGATGGCTGAGCATGTCTCCAAGCCTGACAACCCCAGTTTGGTACCCAGACCTACAAGGTTGGAAGAGAGAACTGACTCCTCCAAGTTGTCCTCTGACTGCCCATGTAACACATGCATGTTTGACTCACTGTGTAAATAAGTAAATGAGTAAGTATTTTTTACATAGGGAAGAGGAGTATTCATGCTGGGAGGGACTGCCGGGCAGGGTGTGCTCCCGTCTGCCTGGGAACCGGTGAGGAATGGAGGGAGAGGATACTCCCTGCTTTTGATCATCTGAGGAAAGCCATTCTCTTGGCCTATTCAGTACAGAAGCCCAATGTGGCTGTTGAGTCCTTGAAATGTGATGAGCCCAAATTAAGGTGTGCTGTCATTCAAAGGAACCCACTGGAACTCAATGACATATGAGAAGAAAAGGTAAAATCCTTGATGTTTTCATACTGTTACATACTGAGATGATAATACAGTCTGTGCTAGGTTAAACAAAACATCTTATTCGAATTAATTCTACCTGTAAGTTTAAAAAATGTATTGTGTATGTATGTGATGTGTATGTGTGGCTAGGTGTGCCATGGTCCGTGTGTGGGGATCTGAGGACAGCTTTGTCGTTCAGCTCTCTCTTCCCACCCCATGCATGGGCTTACATACAGGTGCCTTTACCCAGGAAGAGGTAGTGTAGACGAGAAGGGGACAGAGAATGAAAAGTAGAAGACGACTGTAGCTGTCTTCTTGAAACCCAAAACCAGACAGGTGTCATCAGGATGAAGTAAATGCTTTCCAGGGAAGCTGAGGACGAACCTGTGGATTTATCCTCCTGCTCTGCTGATGCCGTCCAGTAACTATGGCAGCAGGTGCTGAGGACGGACCTGTGGATATGTCCTCCTGCTCTGCTGATGCCGTCCAGTAACTATGGCAGCTGCTGAGGATGGACCTGTGGATATGTCCTCCTGTCTGCTGATGCTGTCCAGTAACTATGGCAGCAGGTGCTGAGGATGGACCTGTGGATATGTCCTCCTGCTCTGCTGATGCTGTCCAGTAACTATGGCAACAAGTGCTATGCCCCAGATGCAGTTGATGCCTTTGATGGCCAGCCAGGCCATGGTTCTCCCCTGTGTCCATGCTGGTCCCATGCACCTCTGTAATGTTAATGTGGCACTTTCTCGTCACTTTCCTGTTCCTTAGAAACCCTCTTCTCCATCTATCACCAGGACGTCACAAGAGGATTTGGCAGGTATCAGCAATAAAAGCTTCCTGGATGAAGCACGGCAAAAAAAAAAAAAAAAAAAAAAAAAAGTGCCACCTTTTAAACTTTTATTTATGACAGTTTTATTCATTGTGTCTGTGCACACACTAGTGCCGAAGCCCATGGGTTGATTAGAGGACAACTTGGAGGAGTTCGTTTTCTTCTTCTACCATGTGGCTCCTGGAGATGATATCATACTCAGGTTGTCAGCTTGATGACAAGTGCCTAAGACCCCCTGAGCCCTCTCACTGGCCCATGCCTTTTTTATTTTGATACCAACTTTGTGGAAATCATGATTTTAAGACCCATTTTTATGCCCTTTTCCAAAGGTCACTGTTGTGTGTAAAGGAAAACACCTGCTATCCCTTGGGCTGCCTCAGAGCTCAGCCTATGATTTAACAGTGTAGAGGAGTCCTGTGGTGAGACCAGCCTGTGGGCAGGATGTGGCACGGGCATTTGAATGACACGGGCTAGGACTGATGTACCGTGCTTTAGGGAGAGGTTCTGTTGTCAGGACCAGCGGCTTTCTTGGTTTTTATTGAAACACAGATATTTACTAGACTAAAGGGAATTACCATTTATTTTACCTAAACCACCACTCACTGGGCGTGGTGATGCACACCTTTAATCCCAGCATCTGGGAGGGAGAGGATGGTCTGCCCTCAGTGAGTTAGAGGCCAACCTGGTCTATACAGCAAGTTCCAGGCCAGCCAGAGCTACAAACTGGGTTGTTGTTGTAAATGTTGTCCTAGACCCCCAGCTGACCACGTTCACAAAGCAGAGGCGGTACCGAAGACACTGATGTAATGACCCATCGCCTAAAGATCTTGTTCCCTTGACCTGAGGCATGCTGCTGCTTTGATTCTCTGGGCCTCTTGTATGCTGCACCTGACCTGTGTTCTCTTCCCAGGGCGAACCTTTCCAACGCATCCGTACTTCTCTGCCCAGCTTGGCGCGGGTCAGCTGTCACTTTACAACATCCTGAAGGCCTACTCGCTTCTGGACCAGGAAGTAGGATACTGCCAAGGTCTCAGCTTTGTGGCAGGCATTTTGCTGCTTCATATGAGTGAGGAAGAGGCGTTCAAGATGCTCAAGTTCCTGATGTTTGACATGGGGCTGCGGAAACAGTATCGGCCAGACATGATTATTTTACAGGTACCGAGCAGCCCTGTGATGTAAATAAAGAGATGCTGAAGATGTGCATCATTCCTCTTTGGGCAGATCTAGATTCTGCTCTACTGATGGCTGCTGATAGCTTACTCTGTGTTAGGCATTGATCTGTGTGCTTCCCATAATGGCTCTCGGGATGATGCTATTAATTGGCTCAGCTTGTAGACAAGAATATGAAGTTGGTCCAGGGCACACAGCTAGCCAGTGGCAGAGGTGGAATTTAAATCCAGGCTTGTGTGGCTCCAGGACCTTAACTCCTGTCCCTTCCCGTAGCTTCCTAGCAATGTAACTGGTGCCTGCAAGCCTGTGATCTGCTCTGTCCTCTGCCTGGGATCCTCTCTGCATCCCCACCCCCTCTCATACAGGGTTCAGCTCTACTGTCATGTACTATCACAGAAGCTCTTCCTGCCTATGCTGACCCTAGACATACCATGCCATGGTATCTTGTCTCATGCCTTCAGGACAACACATTTCCTCCCGTAAATCACCCCACTTATTTACTTCCTACATCTCAGGTCCTGATTTCCTTAGTGAAAGGAGGAGATTGTGTCAGGTTGTGCCCCTGGTTTCTAGCAGTGCCTGGAATGGAATAGAAACCCTGTCAGTATTTGATGAATGAACAAGGTTATCCAGAGAAAACCAAGCTGGGCTTGGTGCTGTAAGCCCCAGTTTTAGGAGGCAGGAGAATCCAAAGTTGTCGGCTGTCCTGGCCTATACACATGAGTTTAGTCTGAGCTACATAGTGAGGCCCCTGTCTTAAAAAACAAACAGAAAGTCTAGGGATGTAGCCCAGTGGTTGAGGGTTTTCCTAACATCCGGTGAGGTCCTAGGTTCTAGCCCCAGCATCCAGGCAGGCAGGGAGGTGGGGAGAGAAGGAAGGAGAGAGATCAGCACAGTAGTGTGTCTAGCTTGACCAGCACTGGGTTTGCTGTTTTGCAGAGGTGGAGACGGCTCTGGGCCCTGATCTGTCGGCGCGTCCCTAAGCATTGCTTAACTGCTGGGGGACATGTTCATTAGTTCATTTCCCAAGAGGAGTCCATAACTTGGGGCTTTAGGAGGTACCATTAGAGCTGAGGACTTGGTTTGAAAACACCAGTGTGTTTTGTTGAAAGTCCTGTTTGGCTCTTGCTGTAAGTGTGAACCCTATGAACATGAACCTCACAAAGGGAAGCCACTGTAAGCGTAGCTAGTCAGGCCCCTCCTCCACCGTCTTTACGTGTGGCCCCTCTCTGGTACCAGAGTGGAGTGGTTCAGCTTTTTGGCACTTGGCCTGTTCTACGAGCTTTTTCATGCTTTGGCAGAATTAGGCTTTTCTATTCAGAAGCCATGGTGGGTGCTGAAGAAAACTTATGGTCTAAGTTGTATTTCACTTTCCTAGTTTCGGATATACATATCCAACCCAGAGCATCTTGTCAGATTCTGGCCTTCTCTGAGTTATTTTGTATTTAGGCCCAGACATGAGATGCTGTGTGGACCTATGTGAGCCACAGGTTACACAGAACTGGGGAGAGCTTCCTGCCAGAGCCGTAGAATTCTCTGAAGAAGTGACCTTTGACCCCAGAGTAGACCTTTAGCTTGAAAAGGTTTTTTTATTCCTCTTACGACAAACATTTCTTAAGTTGACCAGAATCTATGTTTGTTAATAAACCTAAAGGATCTGGTTTGATGGAGTGATTCTGGGAGTCCAGTGAGAATTGGCTGTTGAGCACGGACAGTGGACTCACTCTCTGGAACCATGATGAGGGTGACCTTGGTTCACTCCTACCTAGCAGGAGCTTTTTGTTTCAGATTCCCCTTGGTTGGAGTTTTTCTAAGAATGTGTATGTGTAAGGGAATTTTTGAGATGCTTTCATAGGCAGGCATTTAGGGTCTCTTAGCCAGGGAGCTCAAGGGGACAGTGAAGGAAGCAGAAGCAGACCCAGCATGATCGCTCTGGGCCTCTTCTGCCGACCCATGAGAGCCTGTTCCCCGGAAGCTGTGGAGATGCGTTTGTCAATGAAGTCAGTGGATCCCCTCCCACCCTGTGAGATAAGTCCATACGTGTAGTAAGTACATAGTTCCCAGCCCCTGTGGATGTGTGTTCCTACAGATCCAGATGTACCAGCTGTCACGGCTCCTCCACGATTACCACAGAGATCTCTACAACCACCTGGAAGAGCAGGAGATCGGCCCCAGCCTCTACGCGGCTCCCTGGTTTCTCACTGTGTTCGCCTCACAGTTCCCACTTGGCTTTGTAGCCAGGGTCTTCGGTGAGCTTCCTCCGTGTGTCTGCCAGCCAGCCTTCTGTCATTGAGCAGCATCTGTCGGCATCCTGTGGTAGAATGCTTGGTTCTCTAACTATCTAGTCAGGCTTGGTTGCTAGGAGTCCTTATCTTGTGAATATAGGTCTGATCCTGCTCCACACGGCCCTCCCATTAGTCACCTCTTCTCTTTTCAAGCACATGTAATCTCCTACTTTCAAAGATTTTATTTTTAGAACCAGGGAGGATAGTGTGTGTGTGTGTGTGTGTGTGTGTGTGTGTGTGTGTGTGTGTGTGTGTGTGTGTATGTGTGTATGTACGTGTGCGTATGTATACTTATGCGTACTCATGCATGTGGCAGCCAGAGGTTGGTGACAGATACCTTCCATTACCTCTCCCCACATTATTTTTGAGACAGTGCCTCTCATTGACACCCCAGAGAAACTCCTGTCTCTCCCTCGCCAGAATGGGGATTATAGGCTTGTGCCACGATAGCCTATTTTCAAACGGGCACTAGGTTCCAAACCCAGCTCCTCATGCTTACATGGTAAGGGCTTACATCTCTCCAGCCCCTCGGAGAGCATCTTCAGGGACCGTTCAGAAGCGTCGATTGTACACTACTTGGCATAAACTTTGAATAGACATCTTACAAGTCTAGATTCTAAAAGTGCTAAAACTTGCTTTTAGGGTTTTTATTTATTTTTACTTATGTGTATATATATGTGCCTGTGTGAGTGTATGCCATGTGTGTGAAGATCCAAGAGGTCAGAAGAGGGTATCACATCCTTTGGAACTGGAGTTACAGGTAATGTAAAGTGCCTGACCTGGGTGCTCAGAATTGAACCCGGGTCCTCTGGGAGAGCAGCAAGCTCTCTCAACCACTGAGCCAGCTCTCCAGCCCATCACACTTGTCTGTGAGTCTAAGTGAGTGTTGGCTTCCTCTCCCTCACCTCCCAGCAGATGCTGGACTATTTATTACCTTTATTTCCTCTGTCTGTCCACAAGAACCTTTGAAGACTTTCCCTCTAGGACAGGAATCTGTAGTCCTAAAGTGCTCGTGACTGCTCTTTGCATAACTCTCTCCCCAAACTGATTATTATTTTCTAGCTTGGGGGCGGGGGAGGAGGAGAGGGCGGAAACCACTAAGTAAGATGGATAGTAAAAGCTATCTTACGGTTCAGCAGATTGTGAGATTTCATGATGTTTAGACCATATGTAAAAAATAAAAGCCTCCAAACTGGGCGCTTGCTGTGCTGACAGAAGAGTTGCAGGATGTGCCTCCAGCTGTGGGCTCTGGTTGTTCTTCAGCAACTTCTGAGGTTTTGTCTCCTATACCTTGGAAATAGGAAAGAGAGCCCACTCCCACCCCACCCCACTCACTCTCTCTCTCTCTTACTCCTTTCTTTAGCTCTGTGGGTCATGTGAGGACTAGAACTGAGCAGGGGGCAGGGAGAGCTGAGATTCAGAGACAGTCTGGAAACAGCTGAGAAGTTGAATTCCATGGTTTGTGGTGGAAATTCTGCCAAGGGGACTGAACTGACCACAGACTCAGCTACAGGGGATGAGTGAGGCATTCCTGCCCAGGGCCAAGCCGGAGCCACCACCTGCAGAGAAAGAGTTCCGGGCTTTAGGAGAGCAATCTTAGGCTGTGTGAGCTGGACAGGAAAAACACACAGCCTCCTCCCTGGAGATGAGAGCCTTTCTGCTGCTGGATAATTTGGAGCTCTGTGCACCACGTTCTCGTGACTTCCGTTCTAATAATAAAAGCTGCAGCCTGTTCAGGCAGGATGTTTTTCTCTAAAGGAGTGATGAGTCTTCGAGTTTTACATACAGTGTGCCTAAAGATGCCAATGTCTGCAAAATTCCTGGGTCCTGCCGCTCTGTGCTGTCCTAGTGGGTTCTCGTCTGACTCACGATCTCAGTAGTCGATCTCAGCCGGTCAGTCCCACTGAAAAGATAGTTTTCAAAACCATTTCCATGTATAGCAATGGTGACCAAACCTGCTTGTCCAGCTTCATACTGGTCAATAGTTAAGTTGCAGAGTCCATGCCATTCAGGCTCTCGAGTCTTTCTGACCTGTGACCTTTTTCATTATAAGCCTTTAAGTCTAAATAAATCATAAAGCAAATGAACCCTGTTGATAATTCTCTATTTTATACATGAGTAGAAGATTTCCAGTTTGCGAGCTCAGCAAGATGACTCAGCAGTTAGCTAGGGGTTTTTGCCACCCAACCCGATGAGAAGTTCAGTCCCCAGAGCCCACATGGAGGAAGGAGAAAACAGTCCTGCAAGTTATCTGACCTCCCCATGAGTAGTGCCATGGCACACATACAAATACATTCAATAAATAAACAAATCAATGCAGTAAGAGTCCCAGCTTGCACCAGCATAGCTCCCGTATTAATTAATAGAAGGGCATGTTCCACGAGAGGGCAGCTGCTGTCAGGGTTTATGACACTTGACCTCATGGTGCTCATCCCGGGCTAGATGTCAG